CCCGGTGGTGCAGTGGTTAAGTTCGCACATTCCACTTTGGTGGCCCAGGGTTCGCCAGTTCGGATCCCGGGAGCGGACACTGCACCACTTGGCACGCCATGCTGTGGTAGGCGTCCCACATATAAAGTAGAGGAAGATGGGCACGGATGTTAGCTCAGGGCCAGTCTTCCTCAGCAAAAAGAGGAGGATTGGCAGCAGTTATCTCAGGGCTAATCTTCCTCAAAAGAAAAAGATTCATTAAGGAGGCATGATTGATTAAATTATTGGTCACTGGTGATTAATTCAATCTTCAGCTCCCTCTCCATTCCCTGGAGGTCAGGGAGTGGGGACTAAAGGTTCCAACCCTCTGTTCACATAGTTGGTTCCCGTGGCAACCAGTCCCATCCTTTGGTTATCTAGAGGCTTTCCAAAAACCACCATATTCACATAAACTCAAATGTGATCAAAAAGAGCTTGCTGTGAATAACAAGAGACTCCCCTTTCAGCTTTATGGCTCTTATCATTTAGGAAATTCCAAGGGTTTTAGGAGCTCTGTGCCAGGAACCAGGACAAAGACCAAATATATACTTCTTATTATAAATCACAATACCACACCAACTAAGGAGGTCATTGTGGCTGGAGTGGAATGAGGGAGGGAGGAGAAGGAGTGGTGGGCAGAGGAGGATGGGGAGGGGGCCAGATCATATCAGGCCTTGTCAGGCAGGATAAGCAATTATGAGTTTACTTGGGTTCCAGTGGGAAGTCATTGGAGCAGGTGAGTGACAAATTCTGACTTATGCTTTAGAAAGATCCCTCTTGGCTGCTGGAGAAGGGTCTGTAGAGGAGCCAATGTGGAAGCAAACCTCTGTTAGTGATGAAGTCAAGGCTGCCCCAGGGAGAAAAAGCCCAAGGCGTCCTGCCCTACATATGGATCTACGTCATTCTCCGGGAAGCATAAGACGTCCTGACCCGATCCAATCTGATTCTTATCTAAAGTTATAGGACCACCCAATAACCAGACCCCACCTACACTGATACCATTTTAATGACTTTTTTACGTCATCTTTCCTTTGCCTTGTAAAGAGATAACTCACATACCTATGCCTTATAAATTTAGCCCTACACTCAACCCACGTTTGCAGCTCTTCACCGCCCATGGGTCCTGTCCTCATGCTATTCTCTGAATAAAGGAGCACTACTACCTTGGGAGTCCAAGAAATCTTTCTTTCGACTCCTCGGCTCCCCAAGCTCGCATCATTAGGAAGCTGTTGTCATCCAGGTGAAAGATTTTGGTTCTGAGACTAGGCTCACAGAAGTGGAAGTCGAGGAGATAATATATGCAAGGATCAGATATTTACAAAGACCCACTGCACGCCAGGTCCTAGGTCAGGCACTGAACATGCAGAAATGACAGAGGTGTGACATCATTTCTTAGGGTCACACGGGCCACTGCCATGCCTTTCTATTGTTTTTGGCTATGAGCATTAGTAAGAAACACATTCACTGTGGCCCACAACACGCACACAATGGAAGCACGAGTTTCATAAGACAATACATATCTTTACCCCATGTAATGTATTCTGCTATCTTCTATTTTATTCCGTTCTATTTTCATTAAAAATGCTGGTTAAACTCACAAAATCAATTTCACAATCCACTGACAGGTTACAACTCTAGTTTGAAAAAAGCCATGTCTAAAATCAGGGTGTCGGCATGTCTGGTTTCTCCTGAGGCCTCTCCTTCTCCAGGCGCCACCTTCTCGCTGTGTCCTCACGTGGTCTTTCCTCTGGGCACTCAAACCCCTGCTGTCTCTCTGCATGTCCAAATTTCCTCTTCTTATAAAGAAGATTGAGTGTCAGTCAGATTGGATTAGGGCCCAACCTAACAGCCTCATTTTAACTTAATCACCGCTTTAAAGGCCCTATCTCCAAATACAGTCACACTCAGAGGTACTGGGGGTTAGGGTTTCAAGATATTACTCCTTGAGGGGAGATAATTCAGCCCATAACAGGCACTTTCCTGAGAGATAGGGAGGCAGAGGGAGCTGGGAAGAAAAGGGGGGGAAAGAGTGTCCAGGTGTGCACATGCACAGACAGGAGAGCGCAGGGTGGCAGGGACGTGTAGTGCTCTGGTGTGGCTGGAGGGTACGGTGTGAGGTAGGGAGTAGCAGATTGGAGGGGTTAGCAGGACTAGATCCAGGGCTTTGAATCCCAGACCAGCAAGTGTAGACTTTAGCTTGTAGAGCAATGGGTCTTGGCAGGATCCCCTGGGGCACCCTGAAAAGTACAGATATCCCTGCATTTTAACAAGTGTCTCCAATGGCTCAAGACCCACACGCTGGGAAGAGAAACTGTAGGTGCCATTGACAAGCTTTAGACAGGGGCCTGACTCTGGCCGAGTTGGAGAGGATGGATTGGAGGGGCAAGAATGGAGGCAGAGGGGCCACAAAGGGGGCTGTCCTGCACGTTTAGCCAAGAAAAGATGAAGTATGAATGGACAATAGTAATAGTTAACCTTTATAGAGTGCCTGCCATATGCCACGAGCCCAGCCTGAGCTAAGCACCCTACCTGGGTAGTCACTTTGAATTCTCTCAACAGTCCTGTGTAGTAGGTATCTTTATTATTTTTACTTCACAGTTGAGAAAACTGAGGCCCAGAGAGGTGACGGGACTTGCCCCAAGTCACTCAGCTAGGGAGAAGTGTGTATGTGTTGGGAGAGCCAGAACTTGGATGTCAGCCCTGCTCTCTGGGCAGTCACAGAGGGGATGGCAGAATGGGCAGGAGCTGTGGGGACATAAGTGGGTAAGACTTAGGGAAAGGTTGAATGTAGGGGCAGAGGGAGAGGGGTGACCTATATATGGGTAGTTCTAGGTCCCTAACTCCCCATGACTGCAATCAAAGTTTGAAAGGAGCCCAGTTTGCAAGGCAGACTAGGGACTGGTTAAGTGCATGGATCCTAGAGCCAAATGGTCTGGGTTCAAATCCCGACTCTCCCACTTTCTAGCAGTGTAACTTTGGACAAGTGATTTAACCTCTCTGTGCTTTAGTTTCCTCATCTATAAAGTGGGAATAATAATGGCACCCATACCTCATAGGGTTGTAATGAGGTACTCTTAAAGATGGACACAGTTCACACTGCACAAGCATCTGTTGACTAAGATAAATTCTAAGCATCTCTTGAATTGGCCCCAAGCCACCATCATCTCTCCACCATCTTCCTTCCCTGGCCTAATGGGTCTCCCTGCATCCAATCCTTGTCCTCCTCCAATCCCTCTACATACCCAAGCCAGGGTGACTTTTTCAAGGTGAAAATACGATGCAAATGCTTAGCTCTTCAAGGGGATTCCTACTGCATAGCCCACAGGGCTGGCAAGGCCTGCATAACCCGGCTCCCACTCACCTGTCCGGCCTCATCTTCGCCACTGAACATTCTCACCTCATACGTTTCCAAAGGCAGATGAGGGAGTTGTTTCCTTAGAATCTGTAAGAGCTAGACTAATAAAAACTGTCCTTTCTTTGCTAGGAAGTGGAGATTGCACCCAATAGAGCCCAGTTTGTCCCAGGCTGCATTCTTGGCTCCCTGAGCACCTGCCATGCCCATCTGCTTCCTGATTCCTTCCTTCAGGAAGGATTTATTTCATTATTTGTAAATAAAGTCTGGGTGGTGTGGGGCACCCCGAGATAAATCATATCCAGCTTGGTTTGCTCTGGGCCAGACCCGCTTCTACGTGCTTTACCCGAATTAACTAATTTCCTATGATGTAGGTACCATTATTAGCCCTATTTTATTAGTGAGGAAATCGAAGCACAGGGAAGTGAATTATCATGCCCAAGGTTTTACAGCTGGTAAATCAAAGAGTCAGCTTGGTTCCAGAGCCTTGATAAGGCTAATGAGGCTGAATGTTATAAAGAACTTGACGGACTGCAGAGGCAGGAACAATCGCGTTTAATTAGTGGGGGTCCAACACCAATTCATAACAAAAAAATGTATGTGTCTCATGGTTTAGTGTGGTCTGACATGGATTATCTCATTTCACTAGATGAGGAGGTCTAGAGTCGTGGTAAACAGCACAAGGTCTTGAATCAGATAATCTCGATATTTGCTTCCCAGCCCTGTCACTTACAGAGTAGGTCCCCTATTTATGTCTCGAATTTTTCATTTGTCAGCGAGGTTTAACAAAACAATTTACCTCGTGCCGTTTTGAGGACTAAGCAAGCTAAGAATGCCCTGGAAACACTTATCAGAGTGCCTGGCATATAGCAAGTGCTCAAAAAAAAAAAAAAAAGTTAAATGATATAATAAGATGCTGACTTATTTTATTGGACGCAGATGATGTGTCAAACATGTTCCTGGCCTGTTAAGCCTCACAACAACTCTGTGAGGCTTTTGTCTTCGTTGTACAGTCACTAACACATGTTTCCCCGGTGCCAGGCATGGTTCTAAAGCATTTTGCTAACTCAGTCCTCACAACAAGCCCCAGGAGTATGTGCCGCATATCGTAATCCCCATCGTACGCGGAGGAAACTGAGCGCAAATTAACTCGATCAAGCTCACAGCCAGCAAGTGGAGGAACCGGGCAGTACGCTTCCAGGGTCTGTACTTTTATCCATACTGCCTTTCAACAACAGGGGAGGAAAGAGGCTCAGAGGAGACACTCCCACGCCTAAGAACAAGCTGTGAGTTCATTTCAAACCGAAGGATTATCATTGTGCCCAGCAGATGGCGCCCCAGCGTATAACGATTTGCGGGATTTTTTTCCGTAAGCGGTCAAACTACCATACCCACAATGCTATGCGGGCCTTAAGGACCGCCCCCTCCTCCAGTTTAGCTGTTCGAGGTACTGCCTGTGTGCTCTCCAGGAGGAATATGCAGAGTCGAGCCATTCGGATCCTTCCCCTATCTTCAGATGGCAAGTTAAAAGTTTTCTCTTCTTTTTCTCACACTCCTCGTCTTACTAGTTGGAGGACAGAAGGATTGAAACAACGCTGTTTGCTGGCTTCACCTACCCTAACCTAACGTGAGGACCCTTGACCTCTGACCCAAGATGGCGGCGTCCAGTATTATCGGTTTGCTTTTGCCCTGAGGTGAACTAAGGCCGGGAAGCCAGCATCATGTCGAAGCTAAGCCGGGCCACTCGGGCCCTCAGGAAGCCCGAGGCCGGCGGCGTGATCCGGACCATCGTACGGGCAGGCCAGGCCATGCCCGGGCCCCCACTGGGCCCCATCCTGGGTCAGGTGCAGCCGCGGCTGGAACTCGGCTTGGGAGGCATCGGAGGGTGGGAGCTCGTATGCGGGTGGTGGGCGCGGGCTCTGGAGCCAGGGAGGCCTCGGTTCAAAGCTCAGCTCTGCTCACGCGCTTTATGTCGTTGCGTGAGTTACATAGCCTCTGCGAGCCTCAGCTTCCTCACCGGGCTGTTGTGAGAATGAAGAGGGAGGTGCATACACATCATCTGGCACATAAAGTGGGAGTGGAATCTGGGTAGAGGAAAGAGGGTGGGAACGTAGAGAAGTGAAGACAGAGGAGAAAACGGACGGAGCCTCCCGGGTGGTAGGAAGCCATCCTTTCCTCGCCACGCTAACCCCCGTGCCTCCCTCGCAGCGAGGCGTTTCCATCAACCAGTTCTGCAAGGAGTTCAACGAGAAGACAAAGGACATCAAAGAAGGCATTCCTCTGCCTACAAAGATTTTTGTGAAGGTGCGGAGTCTCGACTTTGATCCCCAGTTTCCTTCTCATCCCCCCTCTTCTCCCGTAGGTCCTGGGGCTGGTCACCTGGGACTGCTCCGCTGCTCCTAACTTGGGACAAGTCTCTTCCTGTTACTGGGCCCCGGTTTCCCCATTTACACGGTGGACAGTAGCCCGTGTCTTTTCTGAGCCCGCCCTGCCATGGTGCAGTCCCTCCCTTTGCCTCTGCGTCTCACCGGGGTTTCCAGAGCAGAGTTGGGCCCGGAATAGAAGTGACAGGGATGTTTGCTGCAGATTTACTTTCCCGGTGGTTTTGTGGTCGGTTAGAGGGACACTGTCGGAAGGTGAGTCAAGAGAAAGGGGTCAGGAAGTTAGTTCCCAGGGCTGGAGCAGCAGGGGTTGGGGGAGGCAGGAAGAGATAGTCTCATATTTCTTTTTTCCGTTAAGCCTGACAGGACATTTGAAATCAAGATTGGACAACCTACCGTTTCCTACTTCCTGAAGGCAGCTGCTGGGATTGAGAAGGGGGCCCGGCAGACAGGTAAGGGCCAGGGTTAGCACTTGGGATTCTGGTGCTCTGGAAGGAAGCAGTGACACCTGAAGGGTTACTTGTGCCTTCCTCCTAGGGAAGGAGGTGGCAGGCCTGGTGACCTTGAAACATGTATATGAGATCGCCCGCATCAAAGCTCAGGATGATGCCTTCGCCCTGCAGGACGTGCCCCTGTCCTCTGTTGTCCGCTCCATCCTTGGCTCTGCGCGTTCCATGGGCATTCGTGTGGTGAAGGAGTGAGTGTCCTGGGGAGACATGGTGTAAGGGGAGGGCCTGGAAAGTTCTTGACTCTAGCACAAAGCCTAGAGGGCCCATTCTGGTGGGAAAGCCAGCTTCTGAGTCTAAGGACCTTAGATTCTTGGGGGTGGGGAGCCTCATTCATTCATTTGGAATGTATTCATTAAGCACCCATTATGTATTAGACATTGGATGCAGCTAGGAAGGAGGTAGCCGTACTTGGCCCTGCTCCTAACGAGCTCACAGTCCAGACATGGAGGGAGATCCATAAATGGAGCATTAGACTGCCGGCTGGTCACTGTTGGTAAAAGGGACCACAGGTGTCTTGAGGACAGAGAATACGGCTCCTGGTTTTGCCCAGTGTGTCAGTAAGGCTTGTAGGGGAGGTGATATCTAAACAGAGACCTGGAAAAGGAGGTCAAGGACTTGGGGCAAGCGTTCTAAGAGTGGAAAAGTCCCTGTGAAGGATGGGAGGCGAAAGAGTGAGGGAAGGAAGTTCAGGTGATCTGGGTGTACAGGACTAGAGGCAGAGTGGGAAACAGTGTGAGGGAGGCAAGGTAAACAGGGACCAGTCGGGTCTCAAGTTCAGACTTGACCCCAAGACCAACAAGGGCCCCTTCATGGGGCTTTGGATGACCTCAGTTTCCTTGAAATGAGGTGTTGGGTGGGAGAGCATCTGGCCCAGACACCAGCAGGGGCAGCACTCAGCCCTTTACTGGCCTCTTGCTGCTGGTGTCACACCTCATGCCAAGGCTGATGGTTGGTGGTTTCCCAAGAGGGGTGGGGTTAAGCATGGAACAGGGATGGACTTTACTTTTCTCAGGTAAAGAACTGAGGGTACAGAGGGGAGTAAATCTGATCCCTGCTCTGAGGGAGACACACATGCACAGCCCGGTGACTTCCTTGTACAAATGTTTTGGAATACAGAGGAAGGGCTGTTAATCTATATCCCAATACAGCTGAGGCCTCAAAGGACGAGTAGAGCTTTAAGAAGGGACTAAAAGGTGGGGTGGTGGGCTGGCATTCCTGGCAGAGGAAGCAGATGAGCAAAGGAATGGAGGCTGGGAAGTCCAGAAAGGGAGAAAGGGTCTGAGACAGTGACATGGGCACTGTGAGCTCCCTACCACAGGCCAGCCATTCACTTTCTGTCTGTTTTTCTGCACCTGCAGCCTCAGTTCCGAAGAGCTGGCAGCTTTCCAGAAGGAGCGAGCCATCTTCCTGGCTGCTCAGAAAGAGGCAGATTTGGCAGCCCAGGCAGAAGCTGCCAAGAAGTGACCCTTGTGCCCCACACTCCAGGATTTTGAAGGGAGTAGCTGGGAAGGGGGCCAGTTGGGAAGACTGTGCCAAAGGGGAGGAAGGGAGGTCACACTGGTCTGGTCCTTATTTCCCTGACTTTAAAGTATATATTTTTACACGTATGGCTGTATCAAGGGATCAAGCCTGAATAAACATCCTTTGTCACCGATTCTCGACTTCTGCTTTGGGACACCAGGGGGAGGCACCAGTACTGACAGTAGCCACCGTGGACAGACATTAGCTGCCCCAGGAAGTAGGAGCCTTCATGCCGCTTCTCAGATGTGTGATCCAAGGCTCAGCCAAGCAGAACAACTTGCTCAGGTTCTGAATTGGCAGAGGTGGAATAGGATCCTGGCCTTCCGATTTGAAATCCTGTGTTTTTTCCCTCTCTCCAGGGATGAGAGAACAGGCAGGCTGGGTAGGGGCCGTGGATGCTGGGGTTTGGGGGTACAGAAGCAGCAGCTTGCTTTTGCTTCCATCAGAAATATCTTTTATCTCTTGAGGACTTGCCTCCTCAACGGAAACAACCCCCTGTGGCCACGTCAGGTCAGGCGACTTCAGTAGCCCCAAGCAGGGTTAGTACGCAGAGTGCCCTGGACCCTGGGGCTACTTCGGGCCCCTCCATTAAGCTGGCCCTGGCCTTGGGTCAAGTATTAGCTGAATGTGAACTATGGTAGGGCTCATGGCTACAGACCTGGGTAGGTACCTGCCCAAGGCGGGAGAAGTCCTTGGGAAGCCCCTGGCCTGTTGTTTTCCCGTTATTCAGGACATCAGGGACCCTTGTCCTCTCAGAGAGGAGAGGAGGGGTTGGGGGGAATGGGATTCATATTTACCGAGCACCTTTTATGTACCAGGCACTTCGCTTTACACTGAGAAGATTTGAAAAGCATAGAAAATCACAAGAAAATTAAAACCTCACATAATCCCATCAACCAGATGAGACTCCTGCCAATATTTTGGTGCATATCTTTGCTGCTCTTTTTTTTTCCTCCAACAATTTTTAGTGACTACTTTGTATTCTGTCTTATGGGTGGACCATGATTTGTTTAACCAAGTCTTCAGCTGTTGGGTACTTTGTTGTTTGCATTAAAAAAAAAAAATACACACAACCCTGTGATGATCCTTTAGTTCTCTGCTTCAGGGCCTCCAAAGCTTCAATCAAGGTGTCAGCGGGGACCGTGGTCTCATCAGATCACTGACTGGGGAAGGATCCACCTCCAAACTCAAGCGGTTGTTGGCAACATTTAGTTCTTTCTGGGTAGTCAGAGGGCCTCAGTTTCTTGTCGGTTGTTGGCCAGAGACCCCCCTTCAGTTCTATGCTCCCTAGCTTTGTGGTCTTGGGCAAGTTACTTAACTACTCTGTGCTAAAACTTCTCATCTATGAGATAGAGAAAATAGTGCTTATCTCAAAAGGTTGTTATAGCCCAGAAATAAACCCACACGTATATAGTCAATTAATTTACAACAAAGGAGCCAAGAATATACAGTGGGAAAAGGGCAGTCTCTTTAATAAATGGTGTTGGGAAAACAACAACCACGTGCAAAAGAACAAAACAGGGCCACTATTTTACACCAGACACAAAAGTTAACTCAAGGTGGATTAAAGACTTGAACGTAAGACCTGAAACCATAAAACTCCTAGAACAACTAGAAGAAAACATGGTCTCCTTGACATCAGTCTTGGCAATGATTTTTTGGATTTGACACCAACATCAAAGGCAACAAAAGCAAAAATAAACAAATGGGACTACAAGAAACTAAAAAGCTGCTGCATAGTGATGGAAAGCATCAAAAAAAAAAAAAAAAGGCAACCTACCAAATGGGAGAAAATACTTGCAAATCATGTATCTAATAAGGGGTTAATAGCCAAAATATACAAAGAACTCCTACAACTCAATAGAAAAAAAATAGTTAAAAAATGGGCAGAGGATCAGAATGGACGTTTATCCAAAGAAGACACACTCATGGCCAACAGGTGCTCAACATCACTAGTGATCAGGGAAATGCAAATCCAATCCACAATGAGAGAGCACCTCACATCTGTTAGAATGGCTATTGTCAAAAAGACAAGAAATAACAAATGTTGGAGAGGATGTGGAGAAAAGGAAACCCTTATGCACTGTTGGTGGGAATGTAAATTGGTGCAGCCACCATGGAAAACAGTGTGGAGGTTCCTCAAAATAGAACTGCTGTACGATCCAGCTGTCTCACTTCTGGATATTTATCCACAGAAAATGAAAACACTAAGTCAAAAAGATATATGCACCCCCATGTTCAGTGCAGCATTTTTTACAATAGCCAAGATATAGAAACTACCTAAGTGTCCACTGATGAATGAATGGATAAAGAAAATGTGCTGTATATATTGCGATAGAATATTCAGCCATAAAAAAAAGGAAATCTTGCCATTCATGACAACATGGCTGGAACTTGAGGGCATTATGCTAAGTGAAATAAGTCAGACAAAGAAAGACAAATACCATATGATCTCACTAATATGTGGAGCCTAAAAACAAACAAGCAAAAAACCCAAAAAACCAAAAACCTGAACTCATAGATACAGAGAACAGATGGGTGGTTACCAGAGGTGGGGGTGGGGGGTGGGTGAGATGGGTGGAGGGGGTCAAAAGGTACAAATTTCCAGTTATAAAATGGATAAGTCATAGGGATATGATGTAAGAAAAAGGGGAGGGGGTTGTGGTAAAGATTAAATGAATTAATGCATAGAAAGTATTCGAACAATGACTGGCATATTGCGAGGCCTCGATAAACGGCAGCTATTATTGTTTCCGGGTTATTTTCTTGAGCACACATGCATACTCTAGTATCATTTTTTAAAAAGCAGCTTCTTTGACAGCTCATCTCCCTTTAGCCACTGCTCCATTTCTCTGTTTTCTTTTGCTGTGAAACCTAAAAGAATTGTCTAAACATACTGTCTATACCTCTTCATCTCCCACTCACTCTTTGCCTTGTAACGCTTTAGTCTTAAAGTCTCTTGTGTTTGTTACTATAAATACCTATACCAATCTCTCTTTTGTTTAGATTTAGTATGATATATCTTTTTTACATCCTCTCAACTTTTCTCTCTCCTTATGTTTCAGATGTTCTTGTAAGAGCGTCAGTTGGTGTGGTAGCCACCCTCCAAAATGGTCCTAAAGATCCCCACCTCCTAGTAATGAACACCCTCCCACGTTGTTCCAGGGTCGGTCTATGTCATCAATAGACTATGCAGAAGTGATGTTATGTCATTTCTGAGATTAGGTTATAAAAGACCCCCACAGCTCCATTTGATTGCTTTTTCTCCTTTATAGTCATACCCATCCCCTCGCCCCCACTGTCTCTAATCCCAGGCATCCACTAATCTGCTCTCCACCTCTATAAGAGGGAAGTCTTTGTTCTCATTTCTAGAATGTCATATGGACTCATGCAATATGTGTCCCTTTCAGATTGTCTTTATCTCAGCAAAATGCCTTTGAGATCCATCCAAGTTGCTTGTGTCAAGAGTTCATTCCTTTCCATTGCTGTAGCATCCCAAGTGTGGATGGACCACAAGTCTGTTTAACCATTCATCTGTTGAAGGACATTTTGTTGTTTCCACTTTTTGGCTGTTACAGATAAAGCTGGTGGGAAGATTCTTGAAAGACTTTTCATTCCTCTGGGATGGATGCCCAGGAGTGTAATTGCTGGGTTGTATGGTAAGTGTACGTTTAGTTTTTTAAGGGATTGCAGAAATCTTTTCCAGAGTAACTGCACCAGTTTATGTTCTCACCAGCAATTATGAGCGATCCAGTTTCCCTGCATCCTCACTAGCCTTGAAATTGTCATTATTATTGTGCTTATTTAATTGTTCTAATAGGTGGGTGGTCATATCTCATTCTGGTCTTAATTTGAGTTTCCCTAATGGCTAGTGCTGTTGAGCACCTTACCATGTGCTTATTTGCTATGCATATGTGTTCTTTGGTGAAATATTTCTTCATGTCTTTTGTCCATTTTCTAATGGATTGTTTGGGGTTTTTTACTGCTGTCTTTTGAGAGTTTTAGATAGGAGTCCTTTGTCAGATAGGTAGTTTCCAAATATTTTCTCCCACCATGTAGCTTGTCTACTCACCCTCTTAAGAAGGTCTTTCACAGAGCAAAAGTTTTCAATTTCAATGAAGTCCAATTTATCAATCTTTCTTTTATAGATCCTTCTTTTGGTGTCATGCTTAAGAACTCTTTACCAAGCCCTTGGTACCTAAGATTTTCTCCTATTTTTTCGTCTAAAAGTTTTATATTTATAGGGTTTTTTTCTAGCTCTCTGTCCACACCATCAAAACTTTTATTTACTATAGCCATGTCCTCTTAAACCATATCCAGAGTACATTACATTTTACATTTGAATCTGTGACCCATTTTGAGTTAATTTTTTTTTTTTGAGGAAGATTAGCCCTGAGCTAACATCTGCTGCCAATCCTCCTCTTTTTGCTGAGGAAGACTGGCCCTGAGCTAACATCTATGCCCATCTTCCTCTGCTTTATATATGGGATACCTACCACAGCATGGCCTGCCAAGCAGTGCCATGTCTGCACCCGGGATCCGGACCAGCGAACCCTGGGCCACCAAAGTGGAACGTGCGCACTTAACTGCTGCGCCACTGGGCCGGCCCCTTGAGTTAATTTTTGTATAAGACATGAGGTTCTTTTTTTTCCCCCTAAGGATATCTAGTTACTACCCCAGTACCATTTGTTGAAAAGATTATCCTTCCTCCATTGAATTGCTTTTGCAATGTGAAAGGCCTATTTTCTTGCTCTGAAAAACTGGGGGAATTCAGTTCTGCCCCTCAGACATTTTGAGTTTAGCATTCCTCGGCATACGGGTTTGAAATGTGCAAATGTCTTGATGGGGAGACGGGTCAGGAGTTTGCCGCAGGTTCTCTTCTTCTTAAGGGTCCCTTCCCTTTAGCACCATGAGACTATGGGAGGTTCTATTTCGCCTTTCAGCTTTTATCTCAGCCTCCCAGTCTCCCCCATCATTTCAGAATTAGCAAATATCCCACGGGGAAAACAGGCCATGCATCAGCCCCTCATGACCACCCAAAAGCTCACTCCCGGTGGATTCCCTCTGTGTGGACTAAACCCAATCAGCCTGAACCTAGAATAATGAAACGTCTCCAGGGAAGAAGATGACTAA